CAGGTCCCCTGTGTGTTCAAACCTTACACTTAGCCGCAGGTTAGTGACTTGCTCAAGGCCATGCAGCAAAGCAGAGGATGAGCTGGGATCAGGAACGTCTGCCTTCAAGTCCCATGCATAATCCACTACAATGTGTTGCTGCAGAGTGAAGCTTGAGTCATTAGTGGTTAGAAATGTGAAATGCATTTTATTGATAGGGAGGCAGACATTGTGTAATTGCTTGAAGAGCATGACACCGAAGAATGAATTATAAATAACATTATGCATTACTGCTACCGAGTTAGCAGTTTGTACACCTATTTGGCATCTGTTTCCCCAGTGATTCGTTATTCAGCTTTTTCGTTTTTTTCTTTCTAAATCAGCACAGAAAGCAGGGGCAGAGCTGTGTCCATTAAGAAATTCAGAGCTGTAGCAAATACTCATCATGCGGATTAGATAGCAGAACACTGCCAGAAAAAGCCGCAATAAAACTACCTCAGTGAACTGCTACCTTGACTTACTGATAAGAAAAAGAAAGAGCATTGTCCTCTGCTGTCACTTGAGCCAAAATTACTTCTTTTTTCATTATCTAGATCAGATAAGTTTTTATCTCCTTTTCCATAAGGCAGTTCCTGTGATTTTGTGACAGACAAACATGGAGCACAATTAAATCTTAATAGCAGTGCTTATACTGATTTATGGAAAAATGTTCGTGAGTCTTTAGATCAATGCAAGCAGAAACACAGAAAAAGTTGTGTAGGTCACAAGTATGTAAACTGCATGCAAAGGAGAGCACTATTAAAAGGGGAACACTGTTTAGCAGGACATAATTGAGTGGGCATGTGAATACAGGGATCTAAAAAAACCCCAAACCACCACATTTTTTCTGCCATTTTCGTTTTTCCTACACAATGGGAAAAGATTGTGCTAGGTTTTCACCTTTATTAGTTCATCCTCTTTCACTAGTAGTGACTCTACCGCAACCTCATTTCTCACAGCAAGTTCTTTTTAGACTGGAGATAAGGAGGAGTGAAAGGAAGTTCCTGAATGATGGATATGGAAGAGTTTTCTGTGCTGAGCCTGTGTGCCAAGGAGGGGTCATTCTCTGTGTGTATGTGGCTGAGAACATGAGTGTTACTATTTTGGATGCATCAAGAAAAGGATAATTGGAGCTTAAAGCTACCACACGTATGAAGTTACTCTAGCCAGAATGAAAGGAATTGGAGGCTGAAACAAGGAGTAAAGCCACGCAATGGTTGACCTAGTAGCATCTAATCCTGAGGTGTGTCAGAAGTAATGGTAGTCGCAAGTTTCAGAGTCAAGCCGAATACCTTCATCATTATAGCTGTGACAAATAAAAGATGTGTCAAGAATGAAGTTTGGGGTCATGGTTTTATTTATTTATTTACTTTTCCAGGATTTACTGAGTTGCCACAAGATACAGTGGTGCAAGGATATATGAAAACTGAGGCAGGCAGAAAATAAGAAAGAGACCAGGGTGGATCAGAGGAGGCAGCAGTGGCCAGACTACTCTTGCCTAGCATGTATTCCTAAGCTCAGGCAGTGTGGAACAGGCTGGCAGGTACTGAGCGCAGAGGCTGCCCTAAAAAGTGCTCTTCCTAAGGCCTGTCTGCAGTATCTGCTGCTGGCAGAAATCTCCAGCATTGCAAACAGAGCCTGAAAAATGAAATAACCTGGAAATGACCAGAAGCTGCCGGCAGGCACAAAAAGAAATATTTGCTTTTATATACTCGTTAAAAGTCAGCAGGAGTCTCAGTCTTGTCAACGTATCTCCCTCAATTATTTGCATTAAAAATACAATATTTAGCATAGGGCTGAGATACTGCGTGGTAAATCAGGGACACACAATTCTGTCAGATAGACATATCGCTTCACATAAAAGTCACTACAGTGTTTCTCTTAAGAGCTGATGGCCATTGCTGTTTCTGTGATCAGATGCTTATCAGGGCCAAAGAGTCAAACCATTTATAAATAAGTTCACAGGAGGAACTGGAATAATGACTGAAATCTTAGTCATAAAAGTTTCAAAAGCAGAGTAACAGGTTAATGTTGTATAATAAATTATTTGCTGAAAATTATTTACTCAGCTGAACAGATTGTTTCCCTTTGCACTCAATATTTCCACTTTCCGAACTACTTGCTGTCTGTATCACCACATAATTTCTGAGATTCTTAGCCACTACTAAAGCATAGTCCAAAAAAAAATGTGTTTTTCCCCTTGCTTGAGAAGAGCTACCAAGTACATGCAGTTCTGTGACAGGTGCATCTTTGTCAATATACTGCATGGCACAGAGGTACCGCTATCCCCACATGCTCGCAACACCCGTGAAATTCTGCAGGTTAACCCAGAACCAAGATGAACCATAACAGCACAGGCACTTGAGACGAAATGCAGATTGTCTGCTTTGGGGGAGGTCTGCTGGAGGCATTGTGAGGTTATAAAATAGGTGATGGGCTCCAGCAGTGTTTCAGAGCACCTACACAAGGAGTCAATGGTCCCCAGTACAGTCAATACAGAGTTAAATGCTCTGAAGTTCAACGGGCTGAGCAATCAGCTTGCTACAGCAACTCTGCTTACGTGCTAGGTACTTGGCTATGAGCCATCTCTGCTCTCTTTGGAGCTTGGGCTTCTGACCTGTAGTTAGTCATTAAAATACGATTTGGAAAAAAAAAAAAAAAACAGCTTATGTTCCCAACTTCACATTGTGGAAAATAAGAGATCAAGTACTTTGTTCTGAGCTTACCTATTTCTACCTGTTTTAAAACCCAGAGCATGCTGTCCTCTTCCTACCAGCCTTCCCCCTTTACAAATGTCCCTGCCAGCGGCAGCAGTGGTGCAGCCACCCATGTCTGGCATAAAACCTTGTGGTGAGAGCACGGACTCAGGAAGCCAGATACCTGTGTTTGCCAATTCTGGAATGCAAAGCTAGGATGCGAAAGATATCCAGGAGTGGTCCTACGACGACATCCTTTTCCTCTTCTTTTTCTTCTCACACTTGTGTTTTGGATTGGGAAATGACTTATTACAGATCCCTTTTATGCTGAATCCATGTTGGCAGGTGTGTTTTAGCCATTTTCGAAGCACGGATAAGGTTCAAACCCCAGAGGCAACGGTTGGGCATTTCTCCCCACAGTTTCTGTGTCAGAGCAGAGGCTGGGTGGGAGGCCACAGCCGTTTGGCTTTCAGGCCAAACAGAGAGGAACATAGTAAGTTTTCGGTGTCTGTGAGGTTGGTTGGAGGATGTCTGGGTGTCTTTCACTTCAGTGCCTGGATGCTGTAGGTTCTAACCAGAGTTTTAGTTGTCTGCTAAATTTCACGCTGACACCAATTTGGCATGCAAATACTTATCATCCTCAGCAACTGTATTTTTGCCTGCCCTATTGCTTAGTTGTTAAAGATGGACCTTTATGAAAAGAAGTGTACAAAATTTGGAGTCATGACTTCTGGGTAATGTTTTGCTGTTTGTATCAGCTGAAGGAATAAATATTTTTCCAATAAGACACAGAGATGATTATAAATTAATTGAGATGGGAGAGAACGGTCAATGTTATGGTTTCCCGTTGCCATTTTTCCAGTGCATATTGATTTCAGTTGAGGGCTAATGGAGTGGGGGAGATTTTATCCCAGTGCCCTTTGATTAGGTACTGATGGAACTGTGAAATAAAATCTGTACCTAGTGATATCATGGGACAGGTACCCGAGATATGTTTCTGAACGAGGAAGAGACTCTATATGGAGAGTGGAAAAAAACAGTGTCAGGCTGTGATAGTGCTACTAACTTGGACTTTGAAAAATTTTTACATCATTTTGTCATCTTGATAGCAGATTTCTGTCATTATCAAAAATATAACAAGTAGCAAAATGAAGCAAACGGTAAAGAAGACCAATATTTACTATACGCTTGAAGCAAGGAAATGTGAGAGGTTCAAAAGATGCAGTGCAAAAGATGCAGTGCAAAATCTTGGGAGAAAATAGATTATTTGTAAGTTTCCAAGGGCCAATGGAAAATGCAATTATATAAATCAAGAGGAGTTGCCTTGAAAATTTCCTTTTCACTTTCAACAATTACTGTGCCAACCTGGCCATTTTAATTGAGCCTTATAAAGGATCCAAAGTGTTTCTAGTGCAAATACATTTGACTGCTAGTGTGCTAGAACATTTTTATGATTCATGTTGTTATTCTAATATTTTTGCTAATTTCTTGGGCGTTGGCCTCAGACTAATTTCATGGTACATTTGAGGTCTCAGCCACAGAGAGAAGGACTGAAGGGGGTTATTCATGGACTTGGCTTTCTACAGATTTATTTTTTTTTTCCCTAACGTAGTGGAACTGTTTCCAAAAGCCGGCTCTATGATGCTTCTTTTTTGAGCATATGCAGTAGATCAGAATTTGTCAGTGAAAAGCAGCATTCCACATAGTCCAAATCCCAACAGGAGTTTATATAGCTATGACATTGTATATTTGTGTTGTTCAGTATTCCAAATAATATTCTAGAAGATTATCTATTTTCCCTGGAGTCTCAGTTTTAAGTAAAAAGCATTAAAGGCTAGGTTTTTCAGTGATGTGTTGGGAATACTTAAGGAGCAGAAATCTGGGACCGGACGTTCGCTCCAGCCTGTGTTTCCTTTTTGTGCAATGTCTGCCTGCTCTAGACTCTCATTAATGTTTTGCTCTTGGTCACTGATTATTTTTTAATAAGAAAATATGATCCACCATGATCCAGAATTACCACTAAGTGACACCTGGGCCCTTAAGCTTTGACTTTGCTCCTGTGCAAATTAATGGCAGAGCTCCTAATGACTTGGTTAGCATTAGTTGGGACTCTACAGAGCAATTCCAGTTGAAGAAGGAGTTTTAAGTGAATAGGAAAATCCTGAAGTCCCTTACACACTGAGCCTATGTGCTTACTTAGCAGTAAGTGTTCCTCAAGCTTGTCTAAGTCCCCTGCAATTGTTTGGGGTAACTTAAAATTCCTAATTGTCTGTGTTCAATTTCCAGAGAGAGCATGTGGGGCTGTGCCAGGTCAGCTGTTAACCCTTTTCGTTTTTTCAACTCCAGGTATGAAGCATTTTATTGTGTATTATATAATGTTTTGTTTTATTAACAAAGTCTAGTAGCAGTGCTTTTCAGCTTTCTTTCCCTCTTTATGTCATGGCTGGGGGATATGCGGGGCTGGGCAGGGTCCAAAGTTGATTTTTGCCATTGCTGTTTATATCTTGGGGCTGGGAGGGTGGTGGTGTGCATCATGGGAAAGCTGCAATTTTTTCTTTCCAAACCCCAATGACTAAAATACGAGAATAGAAAAAAGTATCCTGTCTGATATTTGATAATGCAGCTTAAAACGTTCAAAATAGTCTACTGAAATTGAGTAACACAGTTAATGTGAATCAATGTAGCTCATGGTATAATAGGTCATTGCCAGTTACCATGAAAGGGTTGACAGGCATAGCTGTAAAATGTAGGAAGAGGTCTTTGCGAACGTCTCCTTGCTTTTTTTTCAAGAAGGCCAAATTTTTAAAACCTTACTTGTGTAATGTGTCTAGTAGATGCCCTGCTTTAGAGTGCAGAGTTTATATACAAGTCCACTGGGGGGGTGACTGGGAGGTTTCAGCAAGCATTGGGATGCCGTAAGGTGTCTCAGGTTCACGTCACTTGCCCAAATAGAAATGATGTCATATGACAGAAGCGATGTACCAGCAGTGATAGGCTTCCTGTTTTTGTTGGATTTGTTGCTGTTGTTTTATTGGGTTTTAAAATAGTGTGCAATGAAATGTCCACTCTCAGTGTGCTTGCTTGCTGGTTTGTCCTCCCCCCTTCTTTTGTTTGTTTTGTGGGCCCCTGAAAAGATTCCTTTGGAGTTGTGTTCATCGTGTGACAAGTGTAGACCCATCAACTCACTGCTTTATAAGCTCTTCGTAATTTGTGGGCCCTCTATCTGTAGAGTACAGAAGGAAAAACATCATACATTCAGTATAAGCAAGTAAGTTGCAGCATAAATATAACTCTTCACATTTATAAGTAGATCTAAGCTTCATAATAAAGTTAAGGAGACAGCTTGTTTAAGAGCAATTACACTTTCAGATTACTAATGAGTAGTCAAATACAGAAATCATTCCTCTTATCTAGTCCTATCTCCAATTTGCAGTTAATTGCATTACAACTGGTGTATTTATATGAAAAATTTGCAGGATCTTATTACTCAAACATTTTCAAAGTAGCAGCAGCAACTTCTCTGTTAAAGCCCATAAAAAGCTTTTAATGTTTTCTTGGGTACAGAAATCTAACATTATTAACAGAATTTGAGAATTTGATGCATTGAGAAGATATGTTTGTTTTAAAAAAATCATTAGAATTTTCTTTGATCTGATTGAAATTATCAGTGCAACTTCAGAAATTATTCTGAAGAGCTTACTAGTCTCTCAAAATGTTGTGTTTCTAAAATAAAGTTGTATTTTAGATACAATTTTGGATACAGGCTCCTTTAGCCAAAATTAGCAATAATATTCTATATAATCACCAATTATATTTGCTTGTGTTCTACATGAGACATTTTCATGAAAGAGGCTTACATTGTCAATTTTTTGCTCTTTTTTTAATGTTGTCAATATTTTGCTCAAAAAACGGCTCATGGATTTATACGCAGAGTTTACACATACCATAACAATGAATATGAGATCCTACTAATGAGGTCCCCTGAACAACATGCATGGTTAGATGTAGATGAAGATGGCATAAGTCATTTCGCCTACCACTTCTGAACCACTGAAAGTTTGTTGGCTTTGACTAGAGTGAGATGAGACTGAAATGTGATATTTTGGCAAGCCAAATAGCTGCTAATAAAAACAGAAACTTGGAAGAGAGATATAGGGTCTTGTATGTATTTTTAAAATAAAGGACCAAATCGTTCAAGAAAGTCGCGTCTGTCAAACCTCGTTTAGGCCACATGGACCTATCTATAGAGTGAAAGGTGGAAATGAGATCAATGAGATGAATGTTTAAGTCTGTGTATCGTTTGAAAGTATGAATTCTTACAGTGCACTTAAAACTGCTGACACTGCTAGGAGTATTCATCACAGCTGGTCTGGCTTCTTGGAGTATGGAGCTATTGCAGTTTAGGAACAGTAACTGCTTGTCAGAAGTGAATTCTGCTGCAATTAAATACAGCTATGTGACTGTATATATTTCATTTGAATGAAATTTCATGCATGCCCAGTTTTGTTTTTTTTTTTCAATTACTAAAGTTATCTTTTTTCACTAAATTTCAAGAAAGTTATTCTTCCATAAAATTACACTTACAATTATGGTATTTTATTTATGAAAGTACAGAAAAATTCTTAGATACTTGATTTTCTTTATCGTGATGGGGGAACAGAATGAATCACAAAGTCTTGAAGAAACATTTTTGGCAGGCTCCTTTCCCCTTTTTTATTGGGCTCATGAAATCTACTAAAGACTGTAAGTTTTACTCAAAACTGATTCCAAATGAATGTTCTGCATCTGCTGACCTCTGTGGATGGCCACAGGCTGGGACTGTTGCTCCCATTCATACATGTCTAACTGTTCTTCTTCTGTAAAATGTTCAGCATTTTGTCCATACTGCCTCCCCTGATCCAGAAGTGCCCTGAACCACCATTCAAAGTGGTATTATGAGTGAGTTTCAGATGTTGGCGAACACAACGTGCCTCTTCATCCTCAGTGTCTTGCAGATGGTACTGCTTTTGGTCTCGTGTGATTTACCTCGTTCTTCTTCGTAACACCTCGTTCCACAGCCTTGGCCAGATGGGAGATGCTTGGCAGCTGGAGGACCCAGATGCCAAATTCTGGAATATAGCTTTCCTGCGTTGGCATGTGGGTTCATGGCTGGCTTCTTGGCTTGCACCTCTACTAGCTTGGCTAGCTGTCTAGCTAGCAGTTGTAGCACTGCCTCTGGGGCTATGTTACGGTCAAGCTGCTATGGAGTTGGATGACTTTCCTGATCTGAAGTACCCTGCCGGACACCATTTTCAGCTTAGTTTGCTTTAACTCTCCACTATTCAAAGATGAACATTTGCACTGTTCTGTTTTATTCCTGCCATTTGTAAGACTAACTCGAAGCAGTAGTTCTTATTTGTCACCAGTTCAAAAAGAAAATAAGCATTGCAGAGTACACTGTTTCACTTGTTAGGGTTCCTATTGGGTCAGTGGGAATGTAAGGCCCAAGTCTGTACTTGCAATTCATCTCTGGGACCGAATTGTAACTGCAGAGCACAGGCTTAAAAAATATATATTTCTTATGTCTAAACTTTGATTGCTTTCAACTGCGAGTGAATCTAGCCTCTGTCAAACAGAAAAAAAATACACATGTGGGGAAACAATCTGGATAATTTTTAAAGAAAAAGGATAAAGAATGATGATGATGATGATAATAAATAGGACATTACTGATAATAATTAAGAGCACTGCCAAAAGAAATTGCTTGATTTTCTCTTTGCCGGATTTGGAATGTCTTCATTACATACTTTAGTTTTACCTCAGGTTTTTGGTTTTTTTTTTTCGTAAATGACATAATGAAAAATTAATGCATCTAGGATAGCTGCAGCATTTGAACTTATTCCCTAGTCGATGCCCTTTCCTCCATGCAGCTCAGTGCATAAATGTTACTTTCGGTTGGAAAAACTGCAAAATCAGATGGTCCCTTAGACTCCATATACTTACAGTAAAGTACAGATTAGTCATACCTGCTATGAAATTTTCATTCACTCAGCTGTAGTGAGAGTACGTTGTGCTACACTGGAAGCAGTGGTATCTCTATTACACACTCACAAAACTTTTTTAACACTTGAGTAAATAGCACTTGTGCCTCACTTGGACATGGACACAGACTTCTGCCTGCATGTTAAGATTAAGCATTGCAGTGTGATCTGATCTCTGAGGAAAAGCACCTGAATTCCCCATTATAATCACTGGTGAGAGTTGCATGTCTCAGAAGACCCTACCCATCTAGTTTAGGTGTATACCCCACTTTGCTGACAGCTTAGGGAATGTAAGTACTTCCATAGGAATACAGCCCAGTTGCACTAGGTAAGTTGTTATGGACTATATAGAGAACTAGTAGGAGATAAAAGCATCTGTTTCTCTCAGAGGCAGTCCACATAGCCCATTCTGGGTGATAATGGAGCAGAGATGATTCTTTTCAAAAACAAGCTGACAGCAGCAACAGCAATATTCCCACCTTTGCAGGAGAGCTAGCTTGTCAACAAAGTGGGAGACCTGAGGTTTAGGTTCTCAACACAAGCATCACAGGGGTGTTTTAATCATTGAGATCCTTGGCACAGGCCTAATCAGATGAGATACGTGGAGAGCAGTGCAGTCTCTCATCTCCCTTCTTGCTGAATATGGGCCATTGTGTAGACAGGAACACAGAAGTCATGAGATGGGAAGGAGAGTGGCTAAGCAGAGCCTGAATCCTACCTCAGCATGAACAGAACTGGGACTGTAGGCACCATTCCTTGGAGCAACATTAGGCCAGAAACAGCCATGGATACCAAGATAGAGTTTTCACCGTTCCTCTCTCAGAGCTGAACGTCCAGATATCTAATATGGAGCCAGGATCCTCCTTTTCTGCCCAACCTTTTAGCCTCATGGTTCTTGCATTCCTGGTTGCAAGGTAGCCTTGCTTGCATGGACACTCATGCAGAAGACCTGGAGTCCTTATAGCCGGGTTATTCTTGGGGTGATGAAGATGCTGAATTAACCTTCTGTCTGAGAAGGACCTACAACCAAAGTCTCTCCTTCCCTAGGTGAAGCCTTCCCTGATGGCAAGGCTACAATACAATACCTTTCCAGTGACACCACCATCAAAACTCTGCCAGCCTTTTGGGGCTTCATCACAATCCATAGGCAAAGTTCAGGACATTGCCCTGCCTTTAATTAAAAGATGTGCAGCTGCCAGAACGAGTGTGTGTGAACGTGGGCCTTGTGGTTGGTACCCAAAGAAGCTCCAGCTTAACAGTGAAGGACCTCGTGAGTTTAGGGACCTGCTGGGTAGGACTGTTCATGAGACAGCGGGTGGGAATGTG